ATCTCAAGGGAAATTCAGTTATAACTTCTATCATCATATGAACCATACTTACTACAAAGAGTGTATGTTGAGATTGTTAGAATCAATATGCAACTAAAATCTAATTTTAGAATGTCTATAAATATCTATTATGTTAACATTAGCTTTCCGATGAAAATTGATCATATACATTATATTTAAACGTTATAATAATATAAGTTAGGGAAGAAATCCTAAACAATATGAATGTCAATACATTACAGGGTATTTTTCCACGCTGTTTTCTAGCCCTATTTTCAGTCTGCAAAGCCAAATGGTTTAATGCAACTTACCCGTACGAATATATTTTTGCATATTAAACAAATCTAGTATAACGGACAAAGTAACAACACGACGTTTTGAGAGATGCAGGTTGATGAAGAATATGAACACGTTTTATGGTCGCCAACATTATTTTGAGGAGGCAATCTTATATTGCCTTGTGCGATACAAAGGTCAATGTTTACAAAGAACGAGAGTAGGTCTATTCTATGATATTGCTACTAGATATAGAAATGTGTATATTACATTTGTATATCTAGCTATGACGAGGCCTTGATAACCATGTTATATTGGTATTATGGTGTCGATGTTCTCCCCAACCTTACAATCCTGATATTCATAGACAACCGTTCCAGGTTAAAAAGTAACTATTCTAATATACAAAAGGAAAATAGTCACCAGCAGGAAGAAAATCTTTGCATAAATATTCAAAATGTGGTATTATCCCTAGTAGCTATATACTGGCTCCTCTTTCAGTGTGGCGACGTTGAATTAAACCCTTGGCCAACTTCAGACATAAACATGTCAACTTCTTCCTCCAATTCATCTGAAAGTCTTTCAACTCTGAGCATTTATCTTTTGTTCACTTGAATGTCCAGAGCCTGAAACAGAAACTAGATTTATTACATACATTGTTAAAGGAATGCAGTATCCTTTCTTTCACGGAGACCTGGCTCAATGCGTCAGATGATAGTACGTCGTTGAACCTTCCCGGCTTTCATAAACCATTTTGTTTCTACCGGAATGATCGAATAGGGGGCGGAATTTCAGTGTATGTTTCAGACAAATTAATGGTAAATAGACAAAATGATCGTGAAGTAGGGAAAGTAGAAAGTGTGTGGGTTTATATAGTCTCAAAACATTCTAGGTTCTTATTTGGTACTTTTTATAGACCCCCAAACTCGAATGTTCAACTCTGGAATAGAATTGAATTATCGATAGATCGAGCCTTTAATACAAATATCCGCGATATAATTATAACAGGAGATTTTAATGTAAATCATCTATTTCATAATCATCATCATCAAGTTCACCTATCTAATATATTAACTACATACAACCTTACGCAATTAGTGAACGAATGCACACATTATATAGAAAATGGTTCTTCATTGTTGGACCTAATTCTAGTCAGTAATAATTCAATATTGAATCGTTCTTTCGTTGGAAAATCCTTCCTGGATCAACCAATGCGATATCATTGTCCTGTATATATATATATGGTATTTTTGATATTCCTAAAGTTTTATCAAAGTCATTTACTCGTAAAGTATGGCTGTATAAATATGCTAATTTTGAGCAGTTCAGAACATTGTTAAGAGAGACTGACTGGTCATGCCTCGATATTAATGATATAGATCATTCATGTAATCTACTAACTGATAGAATTGATGAACTTGCGAAGATTCTGTATTCCAAACAAATCTATTATAGTTAAAAGTAAGGATTTACCGTGGATGTGTTTCAATATTAGAAAGACAATTACGAAAGGTAAGAAATTGCATACTAAGTCAAAACTAAGTAACAGTTCAATAGATTGGTTAGAATTCTAACGTGTTCGTAATAAAGGTGTGAACATAATTAGGCAGGCGAAACAAAGGTATCTCAACAAACTATCTTCTCAACTAACAGATAATAATCGTAATAAAACATGGTGGAAAGTTGTTCATAATTTTATTAAAACTACAAATTCCTCCTTTACTGCATGATGGGAAATGCTATGACGCTGACATTGATAAAGCTAACGTATTAAATACTTACTTTTTTAGTCAATCATCTGTGGATGATTCTGCTACGCTACTTCCGGAAGATAACACCATCAATACTCCCTACAGCCTCAGTGAAATTACTATAACAAGCAACGATGTAAAAGATGTAATGGTAAATCTTGATGCTTCAAAGGCCGTGGGACCCGACTTGATTAGTCCTAGAATCCTTATAGAGACGGCGTCAGCTTTGTGTGTTCCTCTTGCCTTCTTGTTTAATAAATCGCTTTCTTTGTCAAAAATGCCATCGCTATAGAAGGAGGCGAACGTAATTCCAGTCCATAAGAAAGAAAATCGTGATGATGTAAAAAAGTATCGTCCAATATATTTACTGAGTGTCACTGGAAAGGTCTTTGAACGCTGTGTTTTCAAATATTTACATAATTTCTTTTGTGATAATAGTCTATTTACCAACTGTCATCAAGATTCAGGCTTCACACCCGGAGATTCAACCATAAATCAACTCATTAGCATAGCCGATGACGTCGGTAAAGCCTTAGATTCAGGCAAAGAAATTCGAGTTGTTTTCTGTGACGTAAGCAAAGCCTTCGACTGAGTCTGGCATCGAGGTCTCCTCTTCAAACTTTTCAAATTTGGCATATCTGGTAGTTTACTAAAATGGTTCAAAGACTCTCAATAAAAGGAAACAAAGGGTGATTTTAAATAGTTGTAAGTCGGACTGGGCATCTATCATAGTTGGGGTACCTCAGGGCTCGATCCTCGGCCCTCTTTTATTTCTTGTATATATTAATGACATTGTTTATGAAATCAATTCCACAATTAAGCTATTTGCCGATAATACGTCCCTTTACATAGTAGTAGACAATCCCATTACGGCACATGCTACATTAGAATAAGATATTAATAAAATCATGTGTCCCGCACTGGACAGGGACCATACCAGACTAGTGACGGCCAACTTGCTCCTCTGATAAGTCTCAAAAGTAAACAGGTATCTATAAGGACTAAGGAGAACCTTCATACCAAATTTGCGAAAGATCCCTTTGGGATGTTCTGCGAAATAGCGCTTACAAACTTTAACTCCCAAATTCAAGATGGCTTCCTGTTGGCCATCTTCATTTTGTGATCAGTCCCAAAATCGATATGCATAACTACGCACCTTGGGGAACACTCCTGTGCTATTCAAGAAAGATCCCTTAGGTATGTTCTGAGAAAAAGCGCCAACAAACTTTCACTCTCAAATTAAAGATGGTTGCCAGTCGGCCACCTTCGTTTTATGATCAGTCCCAAATTTTGATAAGCATAACTAGGGACCATGGAGTAATCATTATGTGAAATTTGAGAAAGATCCCTATGGCACTTTCTGAGAAATAGAGCTTACAAGAATTGTTGAAGGACAGACTGACTGACAGAATGAAGGAAGGATGATGATGGTGGGCTAAAACAAGAGATCCCAGAGGGATCTTGGCGCCCACCATTGTACCATCTTCATTAGTTTATGTCAGTCTGATCTTTTCTATTATCTGTTTGATCAAGTCATGTAAACAGTAAATGCACCGTTTCATGTATTTACTAGTTTTAAATGCAAGAGAAATAGATCCAATCATTACAATGTCAAAAAGATCTCATTAGTTCTTCTGTGGCCATCTTGTTTTTATGATCACTTTCCAAAGTAAACATGCACAATAACAGACCAAGGGAAACCTACATGTCAAATCTGAGAATGATCCTTCCAGAACTTCCTGAGAAATAGCGATGACAAACATTCATCATCAAAATCCATGATGGTCTCATGACAGCCAATTTGTTTATCGGATGAGTCTCAAAAGCAAATGTGCACAACAACAGACCAAAGGGAACCTTCATATCAAACTTGAGAAAGATCCTACAAAACTTCCAAAGAAAAATCAATAACAAACCATTCATTGTCAAAATCCAAGATGGCCGTCTGTCAGCCATTTTGTTTATTTAACCAGTCTCAAAAGTAAACATGCACAACTACATACCAAGGGGAAACAATATATCAAATCTTAGAAAGATCCCTCCAGAACTTCTTGAGAAATAGCGATAACAAACATTCACTATTGAAATCCAAGATGGCCATCTGTTGGCTATTTTGTTAATCTGATCAGTCTCAAAAGTAAACATGCACAACTACAGACAAAGGGGAACCAATGTAATACATTTGAGAAAGATCCATCATGAGAAATAGCAATAACTAACATTCATTGTTAAAATCCAAGACGGCCACCTTTCCACCATTTCGTTTTTTTGGAATCAGTCTCAAAAGTAAATATGCTCAACTTCAGACTTAGGGAAACCTACACACAGTATTTGAGAAAGATCCCTCCAGATCTGTATAAGAAAAAACGGTAACAAACATTCACTGTTAAAATCCAAGTAGCCGCCTTTTGGCCATTTCGTTTAACAGATAAGTCTTAAAAGTAAACATGCACAACTTCAAATCAAGGGGAACCTACATGTCAAATTTGAGAAAGATCCCTATGTTCTTTCTGAGAAATAGCGATAAAAACAATTGTTTAAGGACATACGACAGACCACGGACGAAAGGTCGTTTGAATAGCCCACCATCAGATGATGAAAGTTGTGTGTTCTCAGCCGACTCAACACAGTTAAAACCATAGTACTCTGATCATCGTTTTGTCGTTCTGCGCAGTGTAAGGTACTTTTTTCCAGTACTGGACATTTATTTATGCAATGAAAATTATAATGACAAAATGAACATTTCGAATTCATTTAAAATAATAGTAAATGTATCATGTGGTACAGTAAGTGAAAATGTAGTACTTATAGCGACGTCCCCACAGCTATGACCAATCACAGCACCTTTAGGTTTTATTTCAAGCGTGTAATACCATATTTATGACGTGGCCGTATGACATAGTAAAATGGGTCAGTTATGTGATAAATTGTTATATTTGTGTGAATGAATAAATATAGAATCCACTCAAACAATTTTATGATTTTTTCTTTATTACAAAATAATGAGACTTGCAGCAATATATGATTATATATAAATAGTTCCCCAATGATTTTATCTCCTTTCTACAAGCACATTACATCATTCTCAATTCAACAGAAAAAAACGTACATGCACTTTATAACAGTAATCTTCTAAAAATACCTATATTCCATGTACCTTCACCCACAATTATAATCATACATTCTAGTTCCAAATATGTCAAATCTTATTTTATATCCCTTGAAATTGACTTGAACCTTAAAATAAAAGATCTTTTTAAAGACAACTAGTTGTTTAGGAGATTTAAATAACTATTCCATTGAAGGTGTTTTCAAGACTGAAAAACCTAGTTATTTGTCCCTCTGCAGGTAAAATGAAATCAGTTATTAAACCTATAGAAATAACCTGTTTAACAGAAGAGACTTAAATTTATTAATTTCAAGTGTTACATGAAAACCTGAAAAGTGGCATGTGCGATGTTTCAAGATTCACAGTAAGTGGGAGTTATCTCCCTTAGCAAAATTTTTGTTTTGACAAAGGGCTACATGCCATTGATGTCCTCGATACATTTACCGCTATAAATACAGGTATACCACATCCACATACATCCATACCACCACGATGGGGAAATTGTTGTGTAAAAGTATATTAATTCTGCAGTCAATATTTAACAAAAGAACTTGTTGGTAAAGAAAAACAAAAGTAGGGAGCAAAACTATAACTTCATAAGTAGTTTTTATCTAATAGTTGTTGTTGATATACAAACAGCTTTTTTCTTGTAGACAAATAATCTGTAAAGCAGGTAAGACGGTGGTATAGACAGGTTGCAATTACAGACAGAGGCGGATACAGGCGGTAGTAATAGACAGGTAGTCTCTTAAGACAGGTGGTTATGAGACACAGAAAGGAGTAATAGGTCTCTATGGCAGGTTTAACTGTTATAGGCAAGAGGTCGGTATAGAAATGTGATAATTATAGACAAGGGGTAGTTATAGACAGGTGGTCTCTGTCAGGTTTGACCATATAAAGACAGTCGGTCTCTCAGACTGGATTGACTATAGAATAAACACAGGTTGTATCCAAAGGACCAATGGCAGTTATAGATGGCAGTCGGGTGATATAGAAAAAACAAGTCTGACAAGTTCCAGTGTAGAGAGGTGGTAGTAATAGACAGGTACTCTCTGAAGTAGGGTTGACCTGACATTTCATTTTCACATACATTCCTCTTTATTTTTCATTAACTTGTGACTTTCAATGCTACACTTTTCACTTTTATAGTTGATATAGTCTTACATAACATCCCAGTTTATCAAATTTACATGTAGGAGCCTACCTTCTCCACAATACCAGACCGTGTCAAACATAGATACATGTTGGTAAAAAATGCATCACATACAAATTGTACCAGTATGTCAACTATCATAAACCAATATGTCAAATATAGGTACATGTAGGTACATCACAAAAATATTCTGTTACCGGTACTTATCAATTAGTATACAACATACACCAAAAACCTTGTAATAACATCCCTTCTTTCATTTCCCTATTGTTTACTGCTAACAAAGAACTACGGGCATCTAGGGTCATTTCTGGCCTCGTCAGGGATTTAGAATTGGTTATTATATTAAAAATATGTACGCAAATATGAAATTTCAGATTTATTCGACAACTGGTTTAGGAGATATGGCATTACAAAGAAAGACATGAATCCCCATTTTCATAATAAAATGCGCGAGTTATCGTCTGTTTTGCACTATATTCTTGAAAATTAGCCATTTTGAAGGAATTTAACTAAACACTCTTCTATTTTTGAAAGCCTCCGCATGCAACAAACTAATTGATATTTGGCATGCTTAAACATTGTCATACCAGTGTTCATTCTTAGAAAGTAAGTTTTGTTTGTCACATGCAGAGGCTTTCATTTCTGCATGCCAGTTATCCAAAAACACCATATATTGGCTATTTCTGCATAGCAATGTAATTTTGTTGCTATAGTAGGGCATCTACACATGTGCATTGGAAAACATTTTCACCGAGTAAGATAGCCCCAATTAACCAACATGATGTTTATAACAGAAATTGATAAATAAATTCAATTTGAAATTTTTACTTTTTATGAGGCCAAAAATGACCCATAAAGCCCCAATTCCTTTCAAAGTCCCAATTTTCATAAACATCACCTCATTTATCCCTCTCAACATATCCCGAAATCCCTCCTTAATGCCACATTTATGCTGAACAAATGATGTAGGTAAAACAAAGTTTAACTTATCCTTTTAAAGGTAATTACTACACTGTAGTATTAAATAAATTAACTCAACTCATTCACTCCTGAAGACACATTTGAACTCTTCCAACTCAAAGGTTGGAATAGTTCATCATTAAATGTCAGGGGTAAATGAGTTAAGAAACAGCAACCATTACAAGAATCTAGTTGTTACTGTATATTTACATAATCCAATAAAATCATTAACATACGTTAATCACAGCTTCAGAATGGGTTTCATCATGATATTTTATATGGTAATCACATTAAAAAGCAAAAAAGAAAAAAAACCTGCTAGCATTTAAAAAAGAAAAAGAGCTACCAAAAAGTAATATAAAATAAACCAGCTCCAAATTTGATTTACAGTTAAGTAAAAGTAATATATCAATCCTATCAACATAAAGTAGAGTGATATATTGACTTAAATTGATTGAAAAACGTTGTATTATGAAATGCCAAACTATCCTTACTCTGTATTTGAATTTATTCCTGGTATTGATGAAAAAATCTTTGTTTTTTTTAAGAGTATTTGTGAGTAAATTGTTAATTTTATCAACTTAAAGGCCAACCATACATTTCCCTAGCAGATGCATTGCATTATGTTGATCTCAATTGCAGAGATTGTTTTTGGTTTCTTTGGTGAGCCACAGAAAGATGATCACTATAACCCAGGTAGGTTCAGGCCAGAACTGCTTCTGTACCTACTACATTGTATGTCACAAACATACAGAGACTTTTTCAAGGTGAAACAGAATTTAATAAAGTTCTTCTTCAGTATGCAAAACTGTGTACAAATATTAGCCATCCTCATAAAATTGTCTCACTACTGAGGACAAATGCCGCCCAGCAAACCGTTTTCTTTTTGTTCGGGTCAGATCTAGAAATTTCCAGCTGTAAGTGATTTTAACACAGGTTAAGTGATTACAACTTTTGTTTGTGTTTTAGGTCAGGTCAAATATGGCTGTTTGTGTAGAAATGATGTGCTCAAGCACAGCATGGATGATCTTGTATCAAAAATAGAAATTCTACGAACAAACACTCATTTTCACTGGGCATTTGGCATGAAGCATTTCAATTGGTTGAACATGTTCAATCAATGATTGTGAAACTCATAGGTGCCAGCTATAGCAAAACGCTAATACTAAAAAAGTTTTAGAAAATCACAAATGAAAATGCATTCTAATGTCATGATTTGAGTGGATTTCGTTCCCAGTCTGAAACTGGAGCCATGCAGGAAAAAATACTACTTTCCTGAAATAAAACAAATGTTTGGTAACAGCAGATTCCCAGATTCACGATGGTCAGATAATGTATCCCTGATATTCTTCCTTTTTAATTGTTATTTATACCATTTGTAAATTAACTTGCCTTTGTCAGATAAATAAGATATGATTAAAAATATGTCGGGGAAAATGTTAGTTTGTATGAAGCACTCTAGGTTAGGCTTGAATTCATGATGTGTAATACAGTAGATTTCTATTAATGTCAAAGTCTGGTTAATATCATTATTTCCTAAAAAAATACATATATTGTATATAATTTAGTTTGTTTGATATCAAGTGCCTTTAAGTGAACTCCTCTTTAAAATATCATGTTCCATTTTCAGTTGCCCAATACATCAAATTGACCATTTCTTTTATCGACCGACTTCTTCTGTAACTTCCCCTGGGGTCCATATTACACTTTGCTTTATTGTATTAAACACAAGATAAACTGTTTTAAGTACCTTTACTAAGTTAGCTTAATTTGCTTTGTTACAACAAAGGTAGATTGACATGTTGTATCTAAACTATAATTTCATGCACAAAATTACCCTTTAATTTGATACTTAAATTTTTATAGAATATTTTTATTTTTGTCAATTCATTACCTGAACTTATAACAGATTTTTCTTCTCAGTATGACAAGACCCTGATATAACATATTTACATATCAAACAACTCGGGAAATAAAGATTTCTAGAATACGGGCTTTCAGTAGATCATTACGATAATCTGTATGACTCCCCAAATTTAGCTTCTTTGATTTTAAGGAATATGCCATTGACCTACAAATTTCTGGACAAACTATTCTTCAAAAATCCCCATTCTTGAAGTTGTTAAAAAGATAATACATGTGGCAAATAATTCAACGAATTGTTCATCGAAAATCCCCAGTCTTACTCGTTACATGCTAACACATACTTGTACACGACAGAGATAAGCGACATCATACTCAACTCACTGGATTGAAAGACATATAACACTTCACAGAGGACTAATTTCTATAGACAATGCTGTCATGATTTCCACCAAGGTCTCCTGACGCGGTGTATATACTGATGAATGATTGTATTCTTCAGACATGGAGTAATAGTATATGGTGATGAATTTATCCTACGGATCCTTACTGCTGCTGGTTTCTTCTACTTGCCGAAGCGCTGGTTGATACTGGAGAAGTTTTGAATTGCTGTACTGAATGACTTGTATCGAATAGATGTATGTGATGGAATGCACCTGAAATACCAAACAGAGGTCAGTCAGAATTCTACCAGATTACAGTGAAGCATGCTTACTATGATGAACACTTATAAATCAATATGGTGACTTAATTTTGGATAATTAATTTTTTGATATTTGTTCACGTAGCAAGCAATAGTTTTGTGAACGGATCCCCTAGGGATTGTCAAATTGTTATGTGAACAAGTTTTACAGTAATTGACAACTCCCTTTAGGAAGGAATTTTGGAATTGTTGCAAAATCTGAATTCTTTTGGTACCTTGGTTTTTTTTATATACAGGTTTTACTATGGATATATTAATTTCTAAGATCTCCTGGGGTTTGCTATAAATATGTTTCACTGAAAAGAAGTACTTCCTGAAGTCTCCCCAGGTTAATTATTAACATCTGTACTGATAAGACATTCTTTGGATGACGTTTACAATACGGTTATACTTACAATATTTCTGCAAGTCTCATCTGCCAGGGGAGGTAACCCAACAGAGAATCTGTCTGACCAAACTTAAGCACCAGGTCAGGATCAGGGAACTTATGAATTTCTGAAGAGTGGAGAAAACAATGGATAAATAGTTGGAGAAAACTAAATTTGATAAAATAGAAATAAAAACTGTTTGTCATAGGCAACAGTTGATCCTGTTTTGAGGTGAGCACAACAGTTGATTATATACATTTGATATACACTTGACTAATACAAACCACTTGTCCTCAGTTCTACATTTCCTTTCTTGGTCTGTAACTACTAAACGGCTGAATGCTTTTATGGAACCTCACAGAAGGATATGAATTGTTAGTGAAAGGTGTCTTGCATGCAACTCTCGAATATCCAAGATGAAGAAAACAGCAGGTGGTTTAACTCAGGTCATTAATTACTTCGTAAAAAGACTCAACATCTTTTTAACTTCATTGATAGCTGTATGAGTGGGTAATGTGTCCATACAGTTAAAACATCTAAGGTCAAGGTCACATGTTGGGTCAAAGTTCAAATCTTTATTGTGTTTTTATTATGTGCTATATTTCTGCACAGCACAATACTGTTTGAGATACTTCATAGATGCATACTGTACAGAGGTCAGTGCTTCCTAGCGATATATAGTTCAATTGCAAACTTAATAAAGTGAGGGGTCAAATGTCAAATGTTGATTGGAGTTAGCTAGGGGCCAATCAGAAGCCAGAGGAAAGAGTTATACCATTTCTGAATGCAGTATTTAATTGCAATGATATTACTGCCACAATAATTTATTTCATTTTCTTTACATGACCTTGCTCTTTACATGTGCTTTGATTACCTTGCAATAAATTATCTAAAGATTGAGGTGATATATCGTCTATCCTTCGTCGTTTCTCCATCACCTCGAGACAGAGCTCGCGGGCGGTCTGAACCAAATCATGCCGACCATCCTCTGTACTCAGCAACTGTATGTGCACACTGTTGCCACTGTGACAACCTGAGAAGAGATGAAACATATCGCAGTTAATAAAGCATTGTCTTTCATCATATTATTTGGATTTTAATCAGTGCAGTGTTATCATTAAAAGTCGGTTGCTGGCAAAAGTAGCCTGCTAGTCATCAGCTTGGAACCAGCTATTAAAATAAAATAAAATGTATAGGCCTACATTATAGCATGTGAACACACCCGTTTCGAAACAATGCAGTGCAAAATCTTCATCACATTCAGTTTTGAAATGTAACTCATAATTTATTAGAAAATCCAATGTGACATCATAAGGCCAAGGGAATAATAGTTCAAGGTGAAAGACATAAATGTTCTATTGTATTCCTTAAAATACAAAAAATGATATCAATGTGGGTACTTACAGTTGGTGACTATCAGTAAAACTTACCATTTTGAGAGACATTTCGTCTGTCAGTAAAACTTGAATGTATATGTATATTGTGTTTGCTATTCTCTGTGTCAGATATGGACTGCTGACTTTTGCGTATCTCTTCTCTTAAAAGGTCATGTTTTCTTTTGAATTCACCTGCAACAACAAAAAAACACGAAATGAACACCAGCTTTAAAATTTTAATAGTCAGAAAAAAACATTTAACGCCCAGGTCACATGTAAGTAACAATTCTTAAGTACAATGTAGCTCACCTCTAGGACAGGGGCTAGGAACAGAAATATGGAATGATAATTCCTTGGTAAATACACAATGAGAATATAAAACAATAACATATTCTATTGTTATGTATAATTGCGTTACTGCATTTACTAATTTACTATTCTTTCTTATATATATGAATTCCAATTAGATTGTTTTTAGTCTTTGAGCCTCTAGATAACCAGGTGAGCAGCTGGACTATAAACGGCACCGAGGCAAGAAAAAAAAGTTGGAATCTAGAAGATCTGTGGTGCTATTTGGTGGCATTTGAGAGTAATATTGGAATGCTTATTCAATTTGTTATTTTTTTTTAATCTTTGACTGGAAAATCAAAGGCAAACTTATAACCTTTCGAACTGTCCATTTAATTGCTGTTTCAGACCACACACAATTTTTCAGGGTTGCCAACCTCTCGGAGGCCATTTTATGTGGAGATCTCCCTCCACAGATCAAGTTAATATCGTTGTAACAGGAGATCTAGAGTAGTGTGATTCCACTGGTGGATTGAACCCATGATCCCAGACTTCCTAGTTGGACGCACTACCACTGATCTAAACGGAAATTCCCTCTAGCGCGAAGGTAGAAGTCGACCATATTCCTATGTACAATTAAAATCTGCCACACCACTCCCAAGTTTTTATGTAAATGTGTTCACCCTCTAACACCACAACCCAGGTTCTACCTCCCTGTCACTACAGGGAGGCCCAGGGACACCATTTGTAACAGGAAAGAGAGTAGTGTACCTCCACTGGGGAACAAACCTGCGATCCAAGACTTAAGTAGTTGGACGCTCTACCACATAGCTAAAGAGAAATTCCCTCTAGCACGGAGCTAGAATCAAAGGCAACTATAATCCTTATATATGAACATTTAGAATCTGCCCCACTACTCCCTCTTTTAAACTGATTTTGCCCTGGAACACTGCAACCAAGGTTCTGCCTCCACTGGGGAACCAACCTGCGATCCCAGACTTCCAGTAAGTGGGCGCTCTACCACTGATCATGAGCTTCAGTGAAATTCCCTTTTATGCAAAGCTAGAAGGTCACCGTAAGCCTATGCACAATTTATATCTGCCACTGCGTGAAAAATCAAGTTAATATCAACTATACATGTATGTGTAACTGAAAGTCACTAATTAAGTTGAACCATCTTATTGGGCAAAGGTACGGTTTCAAAACGAATGCTAGTCGTACACGTTTCGGTAACAGGTCGTTTCTGTGACAAGTCATTCAGGCGTCCCAAAGTCGTTTCGGGACATGACACATGATGTTTCAGGACTTAATCAAGTCATTTCCGGACATATATATTTTTCATTTATAAATTACATTTCGCTCCCGTTTCATAAAAAGTCCTGTAAATACACAAGTATGGTTTTAGATTATGACCTGTGTCACGTGCTTAGGATCATTAGGGTTAATAGATTGCTAGTGCTTGAGAGGATACCTACCAACATTTACCCGATTGACAGTGTGTTGCTGTTACCTGGTGAAACTAATCTCATTATTAAATACAGATCTAGAGGAACTTTTGAAATTCAACATTCAATTTCTTTCGTTATTGATAGGAAGAATATATTTTAGTCATGTGTATCAATTCATCAAATCCAGCAATATATTTTGAACGATGTTTTTATGTTGTGTATTCCGTGTCTGTGAATATTATATATATTTATTCATGTTTTATTAAAATCAGGAAATGGTAAATCACTAAATGTATATATTGTATGACGGGAGAAGGCTATGCTAATTTGTAATAACTTTTATCCAATCGATTGTTTAAACTTAAAAACACATGAAAAATCTCGAATCGACTTTTGACATGTCCCGAAACGACCCGAAAAAAGTCCCGAAACGACTTTCGTCTTGTTACCGAAACGACCTGACAACTTAAAAACTGGCCTCACCATTGATATCAAATACGCTGATATAGGAAATTCCAAGGGTTATCGACCAGACAATTAAGTTAGCAATGTCTGAAAATGAGACATCGTTCTCCAAGACTAGCAAACCCAAATGATGTGGTAACTTTTGAAACGATCTTGCGTCAGCTTCAATCTGTGTTTGCAGACCATAACTTAGACTTCCGGCCAAAGCTTTCTGTTGGAAAGCGAAGCCAAGATATGGAAAATGGAGAATCCAATGCTTGACAAATATCCCGAGAGAAAGCACATAATGAATGAGTCTCAGCACTAGGTTGCCAATCATCGCAGATGACTGTATGTAATCACTTTCAACCGTGAGTTTCGATAGTCATCATATCAAATGCCGGTGGCTCGTGTCAAATCCGGAAGTAGTAGTTTCGGGCTGAATGTTCTACAAAAGTCAATATTAATGAGAATTTAAATCCTATCAACCCTAATATTGCACCAAGAAAATTCATATTTATTTTTTTGGTTTTTTTTTTGTTTGAAAATATCTGTATTTTTAAGAGAGTAATGTTGCATCACAGTTATCGCCCTTTATAAAAACGAAACTAGATAGGAACAGTTACTGACAAGGTTACAGCAGTTGGATAACTTCTTCGACCTGGGAGCTATATGTCAAGCTAACTGGTGTGACCTTAAAACGAAGGTATTCGTTCTTGTATTTTTTCCAATTTTAAATGATGAAGAATATGTAAGAATCTAGATAACTGACGTTATGAAGTAAATTAATATAATGTGTCAAGCATTTACTGTTTAGCTTTTTAGTTTATATCTGTCTACCCACAGTGCGCCAGATTGGCTTATTCATGACATTAGTTTGATTGTACGTAGCTTCAGGTGACTCGTTTCTGAGCCTTTAATGTGAAATTTGCCGAATAAACGAAGAGGAGCAAAATTAAGCAACTAGTTGCTTTACATTGTTTATCAACAATGTTTAGCTTTTAATTTTAACTGTGAAGTCATTTTGCAATCAGTTCCTTTATTACTCTACAATGATCACTTATTCAATATCCTCTTCGACATTGAACACCACTATAATGTGACCAATTTCTGTGCCTGTCTTTTTATAGCACACGTTTTATATATTAACTGTAAATAAAAAAATACTGCTACGGTACAAAAAGATGAAAGAGTATCTGTAAAAGGTTTACTAAATAATTTTGAATTTTGTATCTGCTTCATTTTTAATCACAACAAAACTTTTTAAATGACAGTCACAAGATTTTGTTGAGCAGACAATGACGAAATGTAGCATATATATATATATATACAATGTATACGTATTAGAAAAAATATACATTTTTCGTGAGTATTTCTAAGGTTTTGAATCTGAAAGAATAAAGGTGATGGAAATGCCTCTTTTCCATGTGTTTTTGAGTAATATTCATTTACTGGTATTTGGTTAATTTTCTTTGACATTCTCACAGATCTATGCAAATTGTTTGCTTTCACTACCAAGTAAACAATGACATCACAAAGATTGCACAGAAACAGGTCCTCAGACGATACATTAATTATTAAAATGTTTGAATTCTATGCGTGTATGCTGCAATATCAATAAATTTGAATTAAACTGAATTGAATTTAAACTGCAGCTCCACCTCTTAGAAGTACAAGTACTCTAGTGAGAAATACTTGTGGGTTGGCCAGTGGATGTGAGTAGGTATAGTTGATTAGCTTATATCAGTCGAAAGGAATATCTGAAGAAACCATCTGAATACTTAAATTAACAGGTATCTATGTAGTTGTTTTTTCTCTCCCTAAAGTGCGTATGAAGCTCTGTAGACATGAGGGGTTTACTGTCACAACTAAGGAGTTTGCAAGGCGTTTCCCAGAGAGCAGCCATCCAGTCTCATCCCTGTTACAAATGTAAACACTGCCACCAATGTTTGACATCTTTAAAAACCGTAACAGTCCAATCTCTCAGGCATTTCAGTGATGATGTAATAGGGGCAAAGTGGAGCGTTCATCCTTTGAGGAGTCGTGGAATAATTAGACTGAAGGGGCCTGACACGGTCCCATTCCTCCAGGGTCTGGTCACAAACGATGTCGCTGTTGTTGGAGGCAAAATTCCCAGTCTGTATACTTTGATGCTCAATGTACAGGTAAACTCAATATGTAACAATAATATATTATTGGATTAAAAATTTGAATTTTATGCAAAACAAGTATACAATTTAAAGAAAATTATTTTTGTATAAGCTGAATTTATGTCTCTTGTTTTTTATTAAGTTCTCATCTCATGGATCAATTTTATCCAAACTTTAACATGGTACAAATATTCATGTCATTACCAAGTCTTATTTTATTGACTGGTCAATCAGAAATATAGTGGCAATCATGGTCTCAAGTTTGTATGAACATATTAACTTCTTGCCTAGTTCTAATGAAAACGACATGTCAGTGAAACAGGATCATTGAGCCTCTTTTCTTTACAGATATTTTCAGTCCTGCTTCGTACCTGTGAAAAATGTTAATTTTCTGCCATACTCATGAAATGTATAATGTTTTCATCTGGAAACCATTGAACATCCTTTATGTACTATATGGTTGTGTTCTTTATGACATGTTTTTATTACATTATCGTTTGCTGTATGACATTTTGTGTTACATGACCATGTTCTGTATGCTATTTTTGAATTACAGGGTTTTGTGCTGTATGACATTTTTGTATAACAGGGTCGTGTTCTGTATGACATTTTTGTATTACAGGGTTGTGTTCTGTATGACATTTTTGTATTACAGGGTCGTGTTCTGTATGACATTTTTATATAACAGGGTCGTGTTCTGTATGACATTTTTGTATTACAGGGTCATGTTCTGTATGACATTTTTGTATTACAGGGTCGTGTTCTGTATGATCTATTAATGTACCACTCCACGGATGTATCAGGGAACTCTGTCCTCCTGTTGGAGAGTGACGCAAATGTCACATCAGAGCTCATCAAACTCCTCAAAAGATATAAAATCAGGAAGAAGGTGAGTTTTTGTCAGATTTTGGATCCAAAATGTTGCATGTTCCTAATTTTAAAAATGTGAAACTATGGCTGTACTGACTCTGCTCAATTTGCAGTTTTGGTAACTGAACTGGATAGAGTTAAACACAGGTGACCAGGTGTCTGGATTAGTTGGGGTTTGGAGGTCCTGGGTTCGAAGCCCGGTCTGAATGTGCATTTTCCTCTGCTGTTACATTGGTGCCTGTGACCAATCCTTGTTTCAAGAACTGGGTGAATGCTTGACAAGGATATACCCAAACCTTGGTTGTATATAGTGTTGTCTTAGGGGTGAGAAAAAAAGTGAGAGGAATGAAGAAAAAACTGGACCGGGTCAATTAATTGCTGGTCACCAGATGGCCGTATAGGTTGGGATGTCTACAATTTTGTATCTACAGTTTTGAGGTCCCAGGTCTGAATCCTGGTCTGGTGATGCATTTTCTTTCTTCTATTTAAGTGTGTATTAACAAAATTTCCGATTGAATGAGATTACAAAAAGTAAAATAAGTACCAGTAAGTTTTTTTTACTTTTTTAACAATTTGAGTTTACAAATGTTATATACCGGTAATTTTTAGCTCACCTGGTCCGAAGGACTCCATCGTCCAACCGTCGTCCGTCCGTCAACTTTTCCTTTTAAATGCTACTTGTCCTGAACGGCTAAATAGATTTTGACTAAATTTGGTCTGGAGCATCCTTAGGCCAAGGAGACTCAAATTTGTATAAACCGTGGGTGTGGCCCCCCTGGGGGCAGTGGGTTGGGGCCAAATAGGGGAAATAGAGGTAAAACCTTTAAAATCCTTCCTCTACCGTAGGGATTAAGGGATTTTATTCTAAATTAGTCTGGAGCATCCTTGGGCAAAGGGAAAACAATTTTGTATAAACGATGGGTGTAGCCCCCCCTGGGGGCAGTGGGGCGGGGCCGAATAGGGGAAATAGAGGTAAAACCTTTAAAATCTGTCTTCTACCATAGGGATAAAGGAATTTGATCCTAAATTAGTCTGGAGCATCTTTGGGCCAAGGGGACTAAATTTTGTATAAACGCTGGGTGTGGGCCCCCTGGGGGCAGTGGGGCGGGGCCGAATAGGGGAAATAGAAGTAAAACCTTTAAAATCCTTCTTCTATCATAGGGATTAAAGGATTTTATCCTTATTTAGTCTGGAGCATATTTGGGCAAAGGGGACTCAATTTTGTAAAAACAGTGGTTGTGACCCCCTTGGGGGCAGAGGGGCGGGGTCGAAAAGGGGAAATAGAGGTGAAACATTTAAAATCCTTCTTCTACAGTAGGGATTAAAGGATTCTAAATTAGTCTGGAACATCCTTGCATCTTGATCTTGGTGTGGCCCCCCTTGGGGCATAGGGGTGGGGCCCAATAGGGGAAATATAGCAAATTCTACAAAATCCTTGTCCTTCTGTAGGAATGACAGGATTTTGTCCAAATTTGGTATGAAGTATCCTTGGGTGAAGGGGAACCACTGACCCCACTGGGGGCAGAGAGGCAGGGCCAAATAAGGGATATAGAGGAATATCTTTAATATCCTTTTTTCTTTTGTTAGGATGAAGGTATTTTGACCAAATTTGAACAGTATCACCTATGCGGAAGGGAAATCAATTTTGTGTAAATGGTGTGTCTGATCCCCCTGGGGCCTGAGAGGTGGGGGCCAATAGAGGTAATTTAGCAAATTCTTGAAAATTATTCTTCTGTAGGAATAAAAGAATTTTGTCCATATTTTGTCTAAAACATCATTGGGTAAATAAAGGCGACCTGATTTTGTATCAAAGGTGAGTCTGACCCCCCTTGGGGCAGAGGGAAGGGGCCGAGGGAAGGGGCCCAACAGAGGAAACAAAGCAAATTCTTCAAAATCCTTCTTTTCCTGTAGGAATGACAGGATTTTGTCCAATTCCATAAATATAACCCCTGACTAACCATGTAATACATGTACACTACCAGCAACATCTAGCTATTCCAACTTCAATTTTACTAACATTTCCAGGTAAGCGATACAGGCCCTCTTGGCCTCTTGTTTATAAAATGTTTTAATCTGAAATATTTTAATTTATTCCGATAAGATGCACAGAATTTAGGTATCCCCAAAAAAATCAAAAGACATCTTGTGACATAACCTACATGTCTGTAATTGTCTGCTCTAAAGTAGAAAGGCTTATAATAACTTCCATTGTAGCAACTGGCATTCCGATGAAACAGTGTTTGGATATCCATTAAAAGTCATGTTATTATTCTTATAATTTTTTTTCAGAATATTATTTAAAGTGTTTAAAAAGTTGATATTTGTTTGAACATCTGCACAACATAATACATTGAATTGTTTATTTTACAACAAAATATTTCTAATCCTCTTGTTATTTTGACTTATTGTCTAATTAAACATAACATTTCTTATAAACACTACCAAATAAGACCTGACATTCTGCCTAATCTGACCTGTATATTGTGTCTTACAGGGTGTCTGATTGGATAGGTTAATCCGTTTAATATATATTGTCTCTCACAGTGTGTCAGATTAGACAGGTTTCACTATGTGGCAGATTTTAATTGTACATAGAATTACAGTCACATTCTAGCTTAAGCTAGACAGAATTTCCTTTTAGCTCAGTGGTAAAGTGTCCGACTGGGAACCTAGGAATTGTGGGTTCGATCCCGGGTGGAAGCACACTATTCTCTTTCCTGTTTCAAATGGTGTCCATAGCTCTCCCTGTAGTGACAGGGAGTTAGAACCTGAGTTGTGGTGTATGGGGGCGAACACATTTAAAAAGGGGGAGTAGTGTGGCAGATTTGAATTACACATACAATTACAGTTGACTTCTAGCTTTACTCTAGAGGGAATTTCCCTTTAGCTCAGTGGTAGAGCAGCCTACTAGGAAGTCTGGGATAGCGGGTTCGATCCCCTGGTAGAATCACACTACTCTCTTCTCTGTTACAACTATATCTCTATTTTTCAGGTTGACATTGCTGATGTGTCAGAGGATCACAAGGTGTTTGCTGCTCTGTGTCAAGGTGATGATCAGAAGATTTCCCTTGACAAGCATCTGCCAGGAATAATATCAGCAACCCAAGATCCTCGAGTGAACAGCTTTGGTTGGAGAATCATAGCAGACAGCTCACCATCTGTACTCAAAGGTAAAGTTTCTATTGATAATTTGGCTTTTGATTTTGCATCAAGTGTCATAGAGATATGGAGAGGCTTTTTTCACAACCACCCCTTCCCCTTTAAATTGAGGTGGGGGAGATTGGGAATAGTGTTACCCATATCTGTCCAATCTCGTCTGATTCATAGTCATGACTCTACCAACTTCATTTCTTAACAGATTCTCATCGGAGTTTATCAAGTATGTAAATACCTCAGATGAGTTCTTATCTCAGGATCCCAAGGTCAAAACCAAGGTCACTGTTGCTATTTCTAGGTAAACCAAAGGGCCAAGGAGGCATTCATGTCTTACAGACATTTTCTAGTTTGATATGTATATATATATTTTTTTTTTTAGGGTTTGGGATTAAAGAAGAAAAGTGTGAGGAAGACTATCACAGACAGCGATACCAGTCAGGTATAGGGGAGGGTGTGGTGGACCTACCCCCGGGGAACTGTTTCCCCCTGGAGAGTAATGCTGTCTATCTAAATGGAGGTGAGGCATTTATCAACACTAGTCCTTTTATTATATATTTTGAAATTTTCATTGACCCTAACACTGCCACCTGACCCTCCAAGGTTGTCATTGACCCTAACACTGCCACCTAACTAACCAAGGTTGTTATTGACCCAAACACTGCCACCTAACTAACCAAGGTTGTCATTGACCCTAACATTGCCACCTGACCCACCAAGGTTGTTATTGACCCTAACACTGCCACCTAACTAACCAAGGTTGTTATTGACCCTAACACTGCCACCTGACCCACCAAATTTGTTATTGACCCTAACACTGTCACCTAACTAACCAAGGTTGTTATTGACTCTAACACTGCCACCTAACTAACCAAGGATGTTATTGACCCAAACACTGCCACCTAACTAACCAATGTTGTCATTGACCCTAACATTGCCACCTGACCCGCCAAGGTTGTTATTGACCCTAACACTGCCTCCTAACTAACCAAGGTTGTTATTGACCCTAACACTGCCACCTAACTATCCAAGTGTTTGAACCCTGGTAAGGTAATTTGGTAGGTGCAGGTTGGACTGCTGGCATAAGGGGTTTAATTCTGTTGGGTAGGTCATGCTAAAATGATAGATTGTCAGATTTAGTCACATATGTTTGTCAATTTTGTGTGTGTGGAATGAAATAAATTATATAAGAGTAGTCAAAATTACACCTTTGGAACATGGCCACTGTCCTAATCAAAAAGTTCTGAAATCTTTGTTTTTAACAAACTGTAACATGATACACTTTTTATTCATAATATATAAGTTATCAAATTGTAGCTGTGGGCGGCAAACTAACCAAAAAAAAAGAACGCGAGAAAAAACAAAAGTTTGACGTTAACATATAGATGTGACTGTGTTAAAAACATTTTCCTTAAGTTATTTCTTCAGTCCTTCCACTATCTAGTATCTTGTTTTTCTTTAAGTAGCTTTTTCAAATCCATAAAGCATGGAGTCTTTATTTTTGTGTGTTGCTTGCTCGGATGGAAGGCAAATTTAAATTTGTTTAACATAATGATCTCGACTTATATGCCATCCAAATGAATAACATTGACCTATTTTGAAGGTCACAAGGGTCAAATATGTTCAAAGTCTTCAACTGATCCACACATTACTGTATAGTGACAAAGCTTCATATTACTTTTCAGTGTGTTTCCACAAGGGCTGTTATATTGGCCAGGAGCTGACAGCCAGAACATTTCACACAGGAGTCACTCGCAAGCGTCTCATGCCTATCCTGTTTGAAGTGTAAGTAAAGAACATACTTATGAAAATAATTGAAAATAATCTTGACAACCTTAAACTAAGGGTTTTGAAACCACAAAAGCTGGAAAAACAATGCTAGCAGTCATAGAGAATCTGCCATGAAACGACATGGGTCAACCTATTCAAAGCTTTATCTTTCAAAGGGTGAATGTCAAATTCACTAGGTTGTAAATGTGGAAAGCTTTATAAACTTGGACTCGGTTTAAAAAAATAAAATTTCAAAATTAATGATTGGATTATAAAAAACCTAATTTGTTATTCCACTAAATCAAATGAAGATACATGTATTAGTAATTTAGAATGCTCCAGAGGCTGAAGATTAATGTCAACATTACTATTATCTGATTAATTTTGGATTTGAAGCATGTCACTAGAAAGATGTATGTGGATTTTGAAGGCTAAAAGTCAAAGGTCAAGGTCTAAAATTACCTGGTTATCATTCTCAAACATCATTTTCTCATTAATAATGAAGGGAATGTCAGCAAAATATTTTATAGGTCATTTAGTGTTTTGCAGATGTAACTTCAATGAAACTTATTGACAGATCAGCAGTCCAGCGATCTTATTTACTGGGGATATTCGACAGAAATAGAATTGGTGTCATAACCACAACTTCAATTTGGTTTGTACAAATACATGAGCGAACATGCATGCCAAAGGTAAATATAGTAACACGAAGAAGCATCTTAGTTGTGACTGAAGGTCAAAGATCAAAGGTCAGATGTCGGGTATACAACAATACAGGGTTACTTGTTCTTTATATAATGAATCTTATTGCTCTATTGGATAGTATTGGTACGAGATTTACATTATTTATTTCTTAATTTGTAATCTCTGCATTTGCAGATGAAGTGAATTATCTTTTTCCATGAACATATCATGAACTGATTTCTTTCTATCTTTTTAGTGAACCTCAGAATGTGTCAGCGGGAGCTAACATTGCCACCGAGACTGGAAAATCTGCGGGGAAAGTACGAGGCCATGTGGGCAAATATGGACTTGGTCTTTTACGGATAGCAGAGGCCAGTAAAAAACTCAGTGTTAAAACAGAGACGGAGGATGATCTAGTCGTTAAGTCCAATATCCCAGACTGGTGGCCGAAGGAGACTTGAAATAAAGTATNGCACTCTAAACCGGTGGCCAAAAGAGACTTGGAATTAGTTATTCACTCAAGACTGGAAGCCAAAAAGGACTAATGAAAAAATCCTGTAGGGTTAGTTATGTTATGAATTATTTTAGCGATTTTTGCAGTAAGTTGAGTCTGCAAAATTCAACATGCTGCAAACATTTCATGTCACTAAACTTGAAATATCAAACCACAAATTGAAAACTATGTTAGTCTTTTATCCATTCTTTTTAAACATACTGCAAAAAAGTATATGTCTGAGCGGAAATAAAGCATATTACAGTATGACTGTCTAGTTGGTGATTCTGTGATGGTTTTAGTCATTTGACCCACAATGAAGGTCACTTACATGGGAATTGTACAGTACCGCATAAAAGGTGGACGATACAGGCCCATTTAACCTTTTGTTTAGTTAATTATGTTAAATACCTCTTTGTACAGTTTCTGCTTAAAAAATAAAACGACATAGATGTTGCAGACCTACTGGTATAACTGCCATAAGTGTCGCAAACTGAATGGTGTACGATACGAAGCTTGTACAAACTGTTTCAAACATCACCTTTGCAATTCCATCAAATGGTTTATTATTGCAGATGATCTTGTTCAAAATCAGACTGCATTTGGGAGTTTTTAAAGGTAATCTCTTAATGCAGAGGATCTCTTAGTACATCAAGTAAGTCTGGTCTCTTGAACAGGCTTTAATGTGTTACAAATTGCTCATATTCATTGAATTGAAACTTGTTTGTGCCCCTTTTACCTCCTGTATAGGGTCATTAAGAACTAGTAAATCCACATCAGGTGTTAAAAATATAAGAATATACATTGCTTGAAATCGAATGTCGTTAAAATTTAGAAATATTTGATTTTAAACTTTTTATACGCCCGTCGAAGACGGGGACGTATTATGTTATCACGTGGGCGGGCGGGCGGGCATGCGAACGATGTCTGCTCGATATCTCGAGTAATTATTAACGGATTAACTTCAAACTTCACAACAAGGTTAATTACCATGAAAGCTCGGACAAGTTCGATAACCGCCATTATCCGACCATAATTTGTGGAGTTATGCCCCTTTATGGACTTGCCGAAACAGTGTCCGCTCGATATCTCGAGTAATTATTAACGGATTAACTTCAAACTTCACAACAAGGTTAATTACCATGAAACCTCGGACAAGTTCGATAACCGCCATTATCCGACCATAATTTGTGGAGTTATGCCCCTTTATGGACTTGCCGAAACAGTGTCCGCTCGATATCTCGAGTAATTATTAACGGATTAACTTCAAACTTCACAACAAGGTTAATTACCATGAAACCTCGGACAAGTTCGATAACCGCCATTATCCGACCATAATTTGTGGAGTTATGCCCCTTTATGGACTTGCCGAAACAGTGTCCGCTCGATATCTCGAGTAATTATTAACGGATTAACTTCAAACTTCACAACAAGGTTAATTACCATGAAACCTCGGACAAGTTCGATAACCGCCATTATCCGACCGTAATTATTGGAGTTATTCCCCTTGGTTTCATTAATGCGATGCATGTGTTCCATGATGTTGAATTGCACTCATTGATCTACCAGTTATGTTGAATGATTTCTCTTTCAATATCAATTACTCACAAATACTTCATATATTTCAATCATACAAACAACTGCTCATTCAATGTGACGGGCGTATTATATACCGCTTGCGGTAACCTTGTTTCATATCTGTGTAAGACCGAACATATAATGTTATGGGGTATTGACATTTGTTTGGCTGGCTTGATGTCGACAATATTTTGTCTGGAGCATAAGTTTCCATTACTATTTCACATACTTTTACCTATTTTATTGTACAACAATGAAGACAGAAGAATAACTAAATTTAAAATTGGCTTTAATACCCAACATTAACTAACAGGCAATATTCATATACTCATTATACATACTCAAATTAGACTATGTTATACAATGTAGTACAAATGATAGCCCAAACCCAAGGTGAAGGTTAACGTTGTTTAGAAAAGTGTTAATGTACAATGGAATTAATAACATTGGTAACAAGAAAAAAACCTAAAATGCATATTAAAAAAAATTAACTGGGCAACAATTCCAAGCTAAAGTTAGTTGTGTGCAGCCGAAGGTAACTGTTCGCAAAAAACTTTTAAGTGTAAAAATATTTCAAGCAAGCAATCCACTTGGCACCAGCAAGCACATGGAACCGATATTCAAACCAAGGCCGCGTTACAAGCAATATTAGCAAAGCTATCAAAATGCAAAAAAAAGACAGGGTGGCGAAAAACACAAACTATCTCAAATTAAATTTACAAGTAAATAACAATTCATCAAACTTGCTAAACCTGTCATGGGAAGGAGGAGTGTCGAGTACTGAAGTCATGTTCTGTGCCCAAATATATACAGAGTAGCAGGAAATTAGTTTGATCTTCTTTCATTTCAGTATTTGCATTTAGCAGTAATATTTATTTAGAAAGTTATACCTAAATAAAGTGATATATGTATGTAACTAAGATAGTAAAATGGACATTTACTTACAGAAAATGCCATTTGTTTGTATGGGCAGTCAGCGTAATTATTATGTCTCCCCTTCAAATGAAGGGAGACATATTGTTTTAGTACTGGTTCTTCTTCCTCTTCTTCTTCTGCTTCTTTTAATCGAAATTGTTCGGGCCATAACTTTTAAACCATTAAGATATCTTGATGGAACTTTAGGTATGCATGCATCACCCACTGGAGGTGTGCAGTGCACTGGAATAAGGTCACTGTGACCTTCACCTCAGTAAATCCTTGTCCGGCCCGTAAATTTCAAACCATTAAAGATATCTTGATCAAGCTTGAACTATATCTGCATCACCCACAGGAGGTGTGCAGTGCAATAGAATTAGGTCTCATGCTTCACTATATACAGAGTTATGGCCCTTTGTTTAATTTCAATGCAGAAGTTTGTCTGGAGCATAAGTTCCATGTTATTTCACCTACGTTGACCATACTTACCATATTGATGTATCTTGCGAAGGCGGAATCTCTCACACTAAAATCAGATTTAATGCCCCACTATATACAGAGTTATGGCTCTTTGTTTAATTTTAATAACGAAGTTTGTCAACGGTATAACTTCCATCTTACATGTATTTCACCTACGTTGACCAAACTTGCTAAAGTTTTAATATATCTTGGGAAGTAGGAGTGTCGCATTCTAAATTCGGGTATCGTGCACTATATAAAGCGATATGGCCCTTTGTTAATTTTTTATACCAGAGTTTTTTCATTGGCTAATAAGGGGAGACATATGTTTTTGTTCACAAAAACAAAATTCTAGTTAATTGATTGATAATGCTTCACATCTATTGTTCTCAGGAGAGGAACAATCTAGCTATGCATAAATGCCAAAGTGTTCTAATAAAGGTGGGTGTGGGAATACTAATTCACTTTTCTATTTTATGTGTTTGGAATTTTGTATGTCACGTCAAAGCCAATATTAGCCCAACATAACACTTCTCTGTGTACATAGTATTATTTAGCAGACTTAACTCCCGGAAATCCAGCAGAGGGATCTTTAAGTGCAAATCGTTTAACTAGATTCCCTGTTTAACATACTTTCCGAGGGTCAAGATTTTGTAAAGAGGAGAGTATAAATAGGTGTGTATAAGCTTCAGTTGTTCATTGTTGGTTTGTTATTTCAAAAGTGAGGCATATAGATAGTTTTATCATGTATGCCTTTTGCTGGTACTTGAGAGTGTTTTATAGTAGGGAGAACGAAGGAAGTTAAGATTGTATGTACTGTCAATAGGTAAACATAATTTTGTATTGCTTCTTAGGAGTCTTCGGATTGATATTTGTGACCACTTGCAAACATACCTTACATGAGCAAAGTTTTGTATATGTATCACATTAAACGTGCACGTGAAGGTTTGGGGAAAAACTAGGCCTACTAAATCCCACTGCATGAACGTCATACGTGCATGTTTGGGGAAAGACTAGGCCTACGGTATACCACTTCATGAACGTTATACGTGCATGTTTGGGGAAAGACTAGGCCTACTGTATACCACTGCATGGACGTTATACGTGAAGGTTTGGGGAAAGACTAGGCCTACTGTATACCACTGCATGAACGTCATACGTGCATGTTTGGGGAAAGATTAGGCCTACTGTATACCACTGCATGGACGTTATACGTGCATGTTTGGGGAAAGACTAGGCCTACTGTATTCCACTGCATGAACGTCATACGTGCATGTTGGGGGAAAGATTAGGCCTACTGTATACCACTGCATGGACGTTATACGTGAAGGTTTGGGGAAAGACTAGGCCTACTGTATTCCACTGCATGAACGTTATACGTGCATTTCTGGGGAAAGACTAGGCCTACTGTATCCTACTGCATGAACGTTATACGTGCATGTCTGGGAAAACACTAGGCCTACTATTTCCCCCTGCATGAACGGTATACGTGCATGTATGGGGAAAGACTAGGCCTACTACAAAAATGTATATCCCACTACATGAACGTTATACGTGCATGTCTGGGAAAACACTAGGCCTACTATTTCCCCCTGCATGAACGGTATACGTGCATGTATGGGGAAAGACTAGGCCTACTACAAAAATGTATATCCCACTACATGAACGTTATACGTGCATGTCTGGGAAAACACTAGGCCTACTATTTCCCCCTGCATGAACGGTATACGTGCATGTATGGGGAAAGACTAGGCCTACTACAAAAATGTATATCCCCCTGCATGAACGTTATACGTGCATGTCTGGGGAAAGACTAGGCCTACTGTATCATACTGCATGAACGTTATACGTGCATATCTGGGGAAGACTAGGCCTACTGTATACCACTGCATGGACGTTATACGTGAAGGTTTGGGGAAAGACTAGGCATACTGTATACCACTGCATGAACGTCATACGTGCATGTTTGGGGAAAGAGTAGGCCTACTGTATACCACTGCATGGACGTTATACGTGAAGGTTTGGGGAAAGACTAGGCATACTGTATACCACTGCATGAACGTCATACGAGCATGTTTGGGGAAAGACTAGGCCTACTACAAAAATGTATATCCCACTGCATGAACGTTATACGTACATGTCTTGGGAAAGACTAGGCCTACTGTATCACACTGCATGAAAGTTATACGTGCATGTTTGGGGAAAGACCAGGCCTACTGTATACCACTGCATGAACGTCATACGTGCATGTTTGGGGAAAGATTAGGCCTACTGTATACCACTGCATGAACTTTATACGTGCATGTTTGGGGAAAGAC